TTCCTAATGTGGAGGACGAGCTCCCTGCAAAAAAAAACAGCCCAGTCCGACCATGTCTCGCAGAGTTATCAACAAAAAGCGGATTTGAGCAATGTACGTTTTTAAAAACGGTCCCGGAAGTGTTCTTCGGTTGTAGAGTTGTGTTTAGTTGTTTAAGGATCCAAACATATGTCATTTTCTTAACCATCTAGTGGCTAAATGACAGCATAGGTTTCATGCTAGCTAGGCTTGGGTGTTAGCCTGGGAGATGTTACAGGAGAAACTGATGACCTGGAATAAAATAAAGTTTAACCACAGGCCATTGTGTCCTCTAGCTCATATTGCTTTTAGAATGTTAGCAAAATATCAACAAGTGACTGAATGTTTGAAAATGATGACATCATTAGAATGATGCCTTAATTGACTTGATGGATCAGCTCCTCAAATAAGCTTTTATCAACAGGTTTGTGGTTAAAAATATACAGTGGGGAGAACAAGTATTTGATACACTGCCGATTTTGCAGGTTTTCCTACTTACAAAGCATGTAGAGGTCTGTACTTTATCTCATAGGTACACTTCAACTGTGAGAGACGGAATCTAAAAAATCCTGAAAATCACATTGTATGATTTTTAAGTAATTAATTTGCATTTTATTGCATGACATAAGTATTTGATACATCAGAAAAGCAGAACTTAATATTTGGTACAGAAACCTTTGTTTGCAATTACAGAGATCATACGTTTCCTGTAGGTCTTGACCAGGTTTGCACACACTGCAGCAGGGATTTTGGCCCACTCCTCCATACAGACCTTCTCCAGATCCTTCAGGTTTCGGGGCTGTCGCTGGGCAATACGGACTTTCAGCTCCCTCCAAAGACTTTCTATTGGGTTCAGGTCTGGAGACTGGCTAGGCCACTCCAGGACCTTGAGATGCTTCTTACAGAGCCACTCCTTAGTTGCCCTGGCTGTGTGTTTCGGGTCATTGTCATGCTGGAAGACCCAGCCACGACCCATCTTCAATGCTCTTACTGAGGGATGGAGGTTGTTGGCCAAGATCTCGCGATACATGGCCCCATCCATCCTCCCCTCAATACGGTGTAGTCGTTCTGTCCCCTTTGCAGAAAAGCTTCCCCAAAGAATGATGTTTCCACCTCCATGTTTCACGGTTGGGATGGTGTTCTTGGGGTTGTACTCATCCTTCATCTTCCTCCAAACATGGCGAGTGGAGTTTAGACCAAAAAGCTCTATTTTTGTCTCATCAGACCACATGACCTTCTCCCATTCCTCCTCTGGATCATCCAGATGGTAATTGGCAAACTTCAGACGGGCCTGGACATGCGCTGGCTTGAGCAGGGGGACCTTGCGTGCGCTGCAGGATTTTAATCCATGACGGCGTAGTGTGTTACTAATGGTTTTCTTTGAGACTGTGGTCCCAGCTCTCTTCAGGTCATTGACCAGGTCCTGCCGTGTAGTTCTGGGCTGATCCCTCACCTTCCTCATGATCATTGATGCCCCACGAGGTGAGATCTTGCATGGAGCCCCAGACCGAGGGTGATTGACCGTCATCTTGAACTTCTTCCATTTTCTAATAATTGCGCCAACAGTTGTTGCCTTCTCACCAAGCTGCTTGCCTATTTTCCTGTAGCCCATCCCAGCCTTGTGCAGGTCTATAATTATATCCCTGATGTCCTTACACAGCTCTCTGGTCTTGGCCATTGTGGAGAGGTTGGAGTCTGTTTGATTGAGTGTGTGGACAGGTGTCTTTTATCAGGTAATGAGTTCAAACAGGTGCAGTTAATACAGGTAATGAGTGGAGAACAGGAGGGCTTCTTAAAGAAAAACTGACAGGTCTGTGAGAGACGGAATTCTTACTGGTTGATAGGTGATCAAATACTTATGTCATGCAATTAAATGCAAATTAATTACTTAAAAATCATACAATGTGATTTTCTGGATTTTTGTTTTAGATTCCGTATCTCACAGTTGAAGTGTACCTATGATAAAAATTACAGACCTCTACATGCTTTGTAAGTAGGAAAACCTGCAAAATCGGCAGTGTATCAAATACTTGTTCTCCCCACTGTATATATCTTTATGATTCTGGGGGTCAATGACTTTGTGTCAAGCATGATGAGCTTGCCGTTTCTGAAGACAATAAAAACATTTATTCTTTTAAGACATGAGGAGGAAAGGCTAAGCATGAATAGTCAATGAACATTTTGAAAACATCTACTACATTCCCATTAAAGTGAGATGAGAGAATTATGCTTAATATAGTTATGTTATACATTTTAGTCAGATTAATATTGTAAGGCAAAATATTGTGGTTGCGCAATATTGCGATGTTGACGCATGGTTCATTTTCATCAATGTCGAACCTATAGCATTCATTATTTAAATCGACAAACATTAAATTATGGTTGACAGTACATTTGTTGAAAATAATGAGCATTACAAACCAAAAACAGAGATAAGACAGACATTGTGCACTTCTTGCCAGCTGTTACTTCCATCCCAAGGCTGTGTTACTCCCGCCCCGCCAGTAGGTACAAAAGTAGAGTTGCGGTAGTTCTGTTCTCTGACTATTTAATTGAAACAACTACTATAACGTACAGTTACTACAACTACTGTAATGTACAGTTATTCGCTATTCAAGGCTTAAAAGTCATTTTGAGGTTTTACATTTTCACCTCAATCTTTGACCTGTATCTCAGCATATAGAGTCTATATTTTATTTTGTTGTTTGTTTCTCTTTCAATGGTGGAATCAGTTAGCATATCATATATTATTACTTGATAGGTCTGTGCATGTTCTATAAGTTTAACTTGTATTATTGATAATGTTTTATGTTAACGTGGGCTCACAATCTAATTGTTATTTGCAGGGCTGGCTACAGGCATAAGCGACATAAGCGGTCGCTTAGGGCCCCCGGCGACTAGGGGGCCCTCAACAAATTATTATTTAGTATTATGTTTTTAGGGACTCAGTCGAGGTCTCAACTTACTGTTGAGAGTTAGAATAGTAGAATACACAAGGTGCAAGTTCTAAATATTGTTGTGCATCATCAGTTTTTCTCTTGTTTTGACAGTGACTGACAGTCACTCAAGTAGCCATATCAGCTAAAAAAATGTAGATTGGAAAGTTAGTCTAGCAAGTTATCATGGCTGTATACCGACCGGGTATACCAACCGGGCATGCAGGGCACGTGCCCAGGGGCCATGACCTCCAGGGGGCACACATTGATTTTGCTAGTCACTCTCACGCAGATATCCTTAACATGGCATAAATCATGGCAAAATAGGTAGAATTGCTCTAAAACTGCTTTAAAACTGCAACATTTTCTCTACGTCCCATGGCAAAATGTGTAGAACTGCAGAACATTTGCTTTAAAACTGCAACATTTTCTCTACGTCCCATGGCAAAATGTGTAGAATTGCAGGAAATTAACTTTAAAACGTACATATTTTGCTCCGCCGTCAAGAGGGGAGCCACCAAATTTTTTTGCCCGCTTGGCTGGGGGACCCCAACCAAATCTCGCTTAGGGCCCCCAAAAGGCTAGAGCCGGCCCTGGTTATTTGTCCAATGATTTATTCTGCCTATTGCTTGCCTTGAACAATAATAAAACAATTGATTTAAAAAATACTGGTTTAGCCTAATTTCCATTTATTACAATCTAGTACCACATAAGACTTCACACGAGATGTGCTGTAGCTGCACGTAGCCTACAGAAGGCTTCTTGAAATGGCGCCCAGTGGACCTGCAGTCTAAGGTACAATGTAGGTAGGCTACGGTACTGTATTGTATACAAACACCTCTTCCAGCTGCCCCCTGGCGGCAATTCTAAATATTTATTTAGACATTCAAATCCTAATGCTGCAGGATTATTTATTTACGAAACGGGTCAAATTAAGATCCAACATCTGTATAGGGCTAGGGTTAGATTTAGGGTAAGGGTTTGTGGAAAGTTGGTTGAACACTATAAACTGTCTGTAAGAAATTGTAAACAAAAGCATAAACAAATTAACCCCAGATAGGAGAGAAAGGGAAATATATTAATGATCTGCTTATCTATTCAGAATGGGAACGAAGACAGAGGAAATATGTAACAAACAAAAAAAAAAAGATGAAAAAAAGGCCTGGGAAATGAATTCCTATCTCTGGCTATGTGGTTCATGCAGGGAAGAGGTCAAATTGGGCAAGGATAACATTTGCTAAACTCCCATCTGCTAAATGACAAATGGAATAAAATAAACTATGGTTCAATGATTACAAAGACAGCTATCTGTATCTATGAAATATAACCTGTGAATCATTCAAAGCTGTTTAAAGTTGTCTGAAAATGAGGAAAGACCGCATTTATGTTTTCTTTATGAGAATGATTATACAGTATGACACGACTGCTCTTCCACACCTCATTTTTAATTTCTCTGCAATTTCTTTACATGGACAGTTCACCAGGAAAATGCATGATTTTAGATGAGATGAATAGCATTCACAAATCTATATTGTCTTCACAAGGCTTCCCTAAACTGAGAACATTTGGTAGAGCTTGTTTTGAAGTCTGTGAAAGCTTTTATGGTATATCTACAGCCTAAAATGTAAATGTAAATGTAGTCTGAGTACCCAGAAAGAGGAAAATGCATGTTTTTAGACGAAACAAATCCATTTTCACACAACATTTTGTGAAGTGAACAAATAACTCAGAAATGATGGGTTGCTGCCCAGTGACTTCAGAGAGTGGCACAATATGACTGAGGTCAATGCCTGGACACTGAAATTACTGGTTATTCACAGGTTCCTGTGTAGCCTATTCACTCACCTGCAATGAAGCTGACTGATGTCAAGACAACTTGGAGCATTTTAATGAACATGGTGGTGTGTGTGTATAAAAGTTAGCTTTTAGTTGTTTTTAAGATTGTCTAAGAGGCTTTACTCACCGAGAAAATGGCAGCCAGAGTTTCTGTGTGTATAAAAGTTAGCTTTTAGTTGTTTTTAAGATTGTCTAAGAGGCTTTACTCACCGAGACAATGGCAGCCAGAGTTTCTATACCGCCTGTGCTGATGACGATGTATGGGATCACGTTCTCTGCAAAGCCTGAGTCCCTCAAGATCCCATTGGTGTAGTACCAGATCTGTCAAGAGATAACAATGATCAACCAATTCCACCACATCAAAAGTGTGGACATTTTAGGCCACGTCAATGCTTTGGCCTGCATGTGCTCATATCTCTTGTCCACCACCCATATCAATAAATAACTATGAATAAAGCATACCCCACACCAATTGAACCCATTGAAAACTACCCTGACTTCAAATAGCATTTAACCATTGAAATGGAAAGAGAAGTATATTGTATAGAGATGAATGCCTTTTTCTGAGTTTCAGAATTAAAGCAGTCCAGTGCCAGGTAGTTGAAATAGGCAGAGAATATAGAAAAGACTGCATAAATATCAATTCAACCACCAAGGTCAGGAGCAGGGGAATTAAAACCTGATTTGCACAATTACGTTTCAAATCTGCATAATTTATTGACACTTTCACATGGACCTTGCCCAATTGCAGGTTAGAAATAAATGCCTTTACAATATTGAGTTATTTGTCCTACAAAAAAACGAAAGGGATAGCAACACCTCCAAGAATGTAAACCCAAATCACTTTTTTGGAAGTGTTGTTTCTTTTTAATAATTAATAATAATAATTTAGTCATTTAGTAGATGCTCTTATCCACAGCAACTTACAGGAGCAATTAGGGTTAAGTGCTTTTCTCAAGGGCACAGACAGATTTTTCACCTAGTCGGCTCGGGGATTAGAACCAGCGACCTTTCGGTTACTGGCACAACACTCTTAACCACTAAGCTACCTGATGCCCTTTTTGTAAGACAAAGAACGTTATTAGCGGCTCACTTTTAAGATAAACACCACATTCCTACAAAAGCAATTGGTGGCACTGGTATATTAATATTTTAAAGGTCCAGTGACTGAGGAGCTAATAAGAGCCTTGTACAGTAACTACGCCAGTGAGGATACAGCTACAGAATTAAATAGAACACTTAAAAATGTTATCTCTATGGATACATCCTTGTCCTTTAAATTGCAAGCCCAATCTCCTGTCTGTCTTACGGGCCGGAAAGAAATGCCCATTTAATGCCAATTACGGTCGATTAGTGATTTAATGAAGCCATAAGTTCCATTTGTTCTTGTTCGACTGTGTCCTTGGATTGATACTAATCGAGCCTTTTCATTGTGAGCCCTCATGCTCATACACTGTCATCAGCATCTCATTCCTTCTGTCTAGTTCCTATCACACAGCAAAGTCACCGGTAATGCCTTCGTAATGAAGTTTCTTAGGAAAAATACCTTGTGAAGTTTAGGCAATATTTCTGAAAATAAAATGTTTATTTAAATTCCTGAAAACAGTTTTATTGGGGCTGGGGGGAGATAACAAGTTTTTCGAGGACTGGTAAATGAATAAGCACGTTGAGCATTGATGCAATAGATTGCATACTCCCATAAATCCCATTAACCATCATGCTGCATTAAACCTTGCATGAATAATTCAGCAAGTTCAAATAACATCTAGACTGATTTAATATTGTCTGTGAAAGGGGATTATTATCTATCAGTAGGAGTTTTTCTTCCCCTCCAACATGGTGTTCAACCAAAATCGCCGTCATTACCTGACTGTCACCAACTTAATAACACTTCCATCTCAACTACTGCTGATGGAGAGCGAAGCCACTTATTAGTAATTCCATTCTTAGATCCCCAATTTCGATCTTGTCTCATCGCTGCAACTCCCCAATGGGCTCGGGAGTCGAAGGTCAAGTCATGCGTCCTCCGAAACATGACCCGCCAAACCGTGCTTCTTAACACCTGCCCGCTTAACCCGGAAGCCAGCCGCACCAATATGTCGGAGGAAACACTGTTCAACTGACGACCGAGGTCAGCCTGCAGGCGCCCGGCCTGCCACAAGGAGTCGCTAGAGCGCCATGAGCCAAGTAAAGCCCCCTCGGCCAAACCTTCCCCTAACCCGGACGACGCTGGGCCAATTGTGCGCTGCCCTATGGGACTCCCGATCATGGCCGGTTGTGATACAGCCCGGGATCTAACCCGGGTCTGTAGTGACGCCTCTAGCACTGCAATGCAGTGCCTTAGACTGCTGCCCCACTCAGGAGGCCCAATATTTTGTTTTCTAATAGTATATCAAACCTCTCTTCCTCCCTCCCATCCGGAGGACCCGAGCCTTAGGACTACCTGGCCTGACGACTCCCTTCCTCCCAGGGGACCTGAGCCCTAGGACCATGCCTCAGGACTACCTGGCCTGACGACTCCTGGCTTTCCCTGACCACCTGGTCATGCTAAACAGACATGTGGCTATCAACTTGTTTTATCACCTCTTGAAATTATTTATGAAAATTTCAGTGCTAAAAGGAGGTTGGATGTGGTGCATTTCTGATGGCACAAATACCCCCCAATATGAATACCTTCAAATGCACTGGGGAAAAAATATTTTTCTCAGAGAACAGTCCACTCTATTGTCAGAGATGAGAGAAAGCTGGCACTTACGGCATTCAGGCCACACAGCTGGTAGCAGGCCATGGTGACTATGACGGTGATGACCTGCCAGCGCAAGGCGGGGTTAAGCAGGAGCTCGGTGACGGACGCCATGTGCAGGGTGTTCTGGGCCCGACTCTCAGCGTGCACCTCCTCCAACTCCTTGGACACGTCCTTCTTGCCTAGGAAGGCTCTGAAGGCTGAGACACACACACACAATGACTCCCAAAGTGCCCAGTTGTGGTTCGAGTTGTTTGTTAAGTTGAACAGGAAAGAATAGGTAACTTCCGTACATGGTACATCGTTTTTACAGATGTGTTTTCTTTGAACTTTTTGTTCAACCCATCATCACCTTGATATAACCAACTTAGTAAAAAAACTAATATTTACTGATAAAAGCAAAAACCTGGTGTTGTAAAACACTGCAGTGACAGGAAACAGATTAAACTGTTAAAGCTTTGTATAACTGAACATGTTTCCCACAGCATCACGTGCTTTAATTTCATGCCAAATTTTCAACAACCCTACTGTAGATACTGTATAGTCTTGCAAAACTATGCGGGTGACAGCAAACAAGTTTGAACAACACTGACTGTTGAACTTTGTTTAACTTAACATGATGCCCACAGCATTAGGCCTACCTGTGATTTAACCACATTTGCATTTGTGTACCGGATTGCCCCATTCTCTCCCCAGTAATAGAGAAGATTAAAAGCTGCTTTATCACAGGCTTGATATTTCTAGTTACACGCACATAGCAGGGCATGGGGCTTTTCTTTCTTTAGGGAGGTTATAAACAGTGACATTGTTCCCGTGGAGGGCCTATTTTGTGTTCAGCAGGTTAAGTGAAATTGTGTTATTTTGTGCAAATGCTTCTCACATCGCCATTGTCACAGAGCACTTGACAAAAGGAAAGAAAAGTTTGAGAGCAAAAACTTGAGGCTGAAAAACATAACGCTTTCATAATAAGTTCATTATAACAATGGCATAGCTCCAATCCTAATGCCTTAGGACAATTTATGGCGACACCCTTTGAGGTTGTAAAGCAATAACAGCAAAAAACATTTGAATTTGGCTGAGGTTTTCTCTGATTCTTTGTAAACACAGTGTCAACAGCTATGACAACCTATCACAATGGACAGACAGGTGTTGTTGCATTCTCATTGCAGCATGATGTCCGCCTTAGGCCAGGCAGCTTCAAGCTGATAGTTTTCAAACTTCAGTAAATCTCTACACGGAAAGTAGATAGTAAAGAGGCTACGTTGAAGACTATAAATAAGGCAAGGAGATGGGAAGACAAAAGGCAGCGAGGGAACAGAACAAGCTGCGTCTGTCTGACTAGCATCACGCTGGGCTAGGGATTGTGATAATAGAACTCTACAGGCAGGATTTAGTGACGGCAGTGGTCTGTACCTGCCAACCTGTATAAGGAGGGGGGAGGAGGGATTCTTCCTGACATCTTCAGAAAACTAGGACATTCATTATTGGCCATTAGCCTCATTTGAAGTGAAAAGGAACAACACCAACATGCTGTCCAGAGGCACATGGAGAGCAGGAGTTTTCTTTGCTGATGAGTGCAGAGTAATTGATAGTATATTTGCTTATTAACGGCTCTAACCTTTTGGCAGCCCTAAGCGAGATTGGTTTCTTTATTTTTATTTTTGTAGCCCCCGTCTTGACAGCGGAGAGAAAAACGTTTTAAAGTTAACTTCCTGGAATTCTACACATCTTGCCATGGGGCGGAGAGAAAATGTTGTAATTCTATAACACATTTCAGACAATTCTATTAATTTTGCCATGGGGCAGAGAGAAAAGTTTGCAGTTTTAAAGCTAATTTCCTGCAACTTATGCCATGTTAATGATATCTGAGTGAGAGTGACTAACAAAATGTCCTATATCGGAGAGATAGAAGTAAGTAAAAAAATTAATTGACATGTATTTACCCCTTATTTCTGGCACTAAACAGTCTCCATATACATTACATTCGGAAAGAATTCATACCCCTTCACTTTTTCCACATTTTGTTACCTTACAGCCTTAGTCTAAAATTGATTAAATTGTTTTTATTCAATCTACACACAATACCCCATAAAAACAAATCAAAAACAGGTTTTGAGAAATGTTTGCAAATGTACACTACTGGTCAAAAGTTTTAGAACACCTATCAAGGGTTTTTCTTTATTTTTACTATTTTCTACATTGTAGAATAATAGTGAAGACATCAAAACTATGAAATAACACATATTGAATCATGTAGTAACCAAAAAAGTGTTAAACAAATCCAAATATATTTTATATTTAAGATTCTTCAAATAGCCACCCTTTGCCTTGATGACAGCTTTGCACACGATTTCTCAGTTTGGCCGGGCGGCTAGCTCTAGGAAGAGCCTTGGTTGTTCCAAACTTCTTCCATTTAAGAATGATGGAGGCCATTGTGTTCTTGGGGACCTTCAATGCTGCAGAAATGTTTTGGTACCCTTCCCCAGGGGGTACCAGTGCCTCAACACAATCCTGTCTCGGAACACTACGGACAATTCCTTTGACCTCACGGCTTGGTTGTTGCTCTGACATGCACTGTCAACTGTGGGACCTTATATAGACAGGTGTGTGCCTTTCCAAATAATGTCATATCAATTGAATCGACCACAGGTGGACTCAAATCAAGTTGTAGAAACATCTCAAGGATGATTAATGGAAACAGGATGCACCTGAGCTCAATTTTGAGTCTCATAGCAAAGGGTCTGAATACTTATGTAAATACGGTTTTCTGTTTGTTTTTTAAAAATACATTTGCAAAAATGTCTAAAAACCTGTTCTCGCTTTTTCATTATGGGGTAATTGTGTGTAGATTGATGTGGGAAATTTTTTATTTAATCCATTTTAGAATAAGGCTGTAACAAAACAAAATGTGGAAAAAGTCAAGGTGTCTAAATACTTTCCGAATGCTCTGTATACTTCCATTAATGTTTTCAACTGGTACCCGGGGAACTTCAGACGAGTCTTCCGTGGCCTGTGGGCGTCCTAGAGCAAAACAACTGATATGTACTTGTTTGTGAGAGTCTCACCTATTATTAGTGTGTAGCCCAAACTGTTCGGACGCTACAGACAGAAGTTGGCAGATCAGCTGTACCGACTTCAGACGACTTCCAAGATGCTTGTGGGGGTCGTAGAGTAAAACGGAGAACACCATCGTGTTCGTGAGAGTCATCGTTCCAGAGGGGTCATAATAGTTTGTAGGCCAAACCGTTCGGATGCTACAGACGATTTAGTGAGAAAACCGATGCTCATGGTCTGACAAACACAGCTCTAGCTCTGTCACCTTTCACCGCAGAAGTGCGACATCGGCGGATGCGGTGGATTGAGATGCATCCAATGCATTAAAAAGAGATCTCTAGCTTAAACTGACAGATGTTTTTATGGGGATTTCTGTATTATGCTAATTTGATTTCCGCGTGGGCGGAGACATCGACTCCAATGTGTTTTAAAGTACTATTTTCAGAGGAAAGGACCATGCTGCATCAATGACTGCCTATATACAAAGAGGGTTGCATGCTGCGTTAACCTCTAAGGGATCAGTGTCCTGTATACGGGACAGTTGAGCTAATGTGCGCTAATGTGATTGGCATGACTGTTGTAAGTAACAGCAAACTGTCCAGGACATAGACATCTTATATGGCAGAAAGCTTACATTTATGTTAATCTAACTGCACTGTCCAATTTACAGTAGCTATTACAGTGAAAAAATACTATGGTATTGTTTGAGGAGAGTGCACAACAACAAAAAACATATCACGGCAACTGGTTTGATACATTCAACTCTGAAGGTAAATAATGTACTTACATTCATTAATCTTGCTGTGATTTGTAATCCTGAGGGTCCCAGAGATAAAATGTATTATAGGTTTGTTTGATAAAATCAATTTTTATATTCAAATGTAGGAACTGGGTTCTACAGTTTAAACCACTGCTGTCTCTGGCTCCACACCCACTCCGCCCGGCCATCTAGATGTGTGAAAGTTAGTGTATAAGATAATGATCCATCATGTATGGTATTCCTGGGAGTGTGTAAACTTACATTTTGTATTACCATATCATTTTTGTATGTTCTCTATAGTTATTTACTTGAAAATGTATCAATTGACCAATTTGGCACATTTAGGCAGGCTTGATACAAAATAGTCCAGTATTGCAATGTTTCACTGGATCAATCTGAAACTTTTCACACACACTGCTGCCATCTAGTGGCCAAAATATAAATTGCGCCGAAACTGCAATATTATATTGTGGCCTTTCAACTACTTTATTTAAAGAATATATAAATAACACTATTCTCCACGCACTGTAATTTACAGATTGATAATATCTAGTGATAAGAGCTAGGTAAATGAGTAATCCGTTTAGAGAAGGGGATTGTAAATACAAATAGCAATTGTATTAGATGATTTTTCCTTACGATCCCTGGAGACGAATGTGAAACCAGCCATATAGAAGCAAACTGAAAATCATATCAACGTGACATTGCGGCTCCTTTCCACAGTGAAATAGGATATAAATAGCTGTGCTGTTATTCCCAATTCTAATTGTGTGCCCTCTTAATTTGCTTGGATGAAATTTGGAGACCCAAGCTATAGGCTTCTTTCTGTAAGGTTGAACCTGCCGAGTTGATGTATGCGCTTTAGAATGTTTTGATTATATGCCCAGGCTTTTCTACGTTTTATTTTACAATTTGTATCATGTACAATATTAGCCACTATTGGGAGCCATCGTCAGTGATACCCACATACATTTCTTTTTGCATCATTCCATTCCATTCCGTTTACCTTTCATTCCTCTGTCACATCCTTGTAAATTGTTCCTGAGGGTCGCTAGCATTAGTGGATCATACTAGGCTAACGTTGTGCGATAATTTAGGACATGTAGCCTATTTTAATCTTTATGGAACTTAGACCACACATAGCAGGTTAAACCTGGAGCCTGGCGCACGGTTGACGACGACTAGACAGTTGTCATACAGTTCCATGATTAGTGAGATTTAGGGTAGATTTATAGGATTATTGTTCAACCCCTATTGTACACTTTCTTTCCACCTTCCAATATTTAATGGATGGAACTTGAATATGACAACTTTCAGGATCAATCAAACCACTGTATTTTGTATTCATCAATATACAGTATTTTGTGCATAAAGGCTCTCCAAACCGTTTTCTATTTCATGAATCATACATACTTTCCTAACCCTAAAATGTGCCTAAATAATCTACAAGATCAGAGTGTTTTTAAATATACTAGTTGGTGCTGAAAGGGAGACAAATATAAATAGATGGCTTTCTTTCATTGATCCCTATATTCTGAACCCGTTCTCTCAATGTATTCTGTTGAGTCTGTCAACAAAATTCTAATTATAGGTGCACCGTATTTAAAGGGATGGCTTAAGATAATTGTACTGAAAACCTAATTGAATGAAAACTTCACAGGAAAATCTGTTGGCCAGCAAGTGGGAGGGTTTTCAGTGGTTGAATGACATTTATTGAGAGTGCACAAGGTAGCCACACCTGCAGAGTGCGTTATACGACTGAATAAGGCAAGTCTGAATACCAAATACTGCAAAGTGAGTAGGAAAGGCATAAATTCCTAAATTGGGATCTAAGCGAATTGGAGTGGGTCTAGGGTGTCTGGGATGATGGTGTTGATGTGTGTCATGACCAGCCTTTCAAAGCACTTCGTAATTACAGATGTGAGTGCTACAGGGCGATAGTCATTTAGGCAGGTTACCTTGGAGCTCTTGGGAACAGGGACAATGGTGGTCAACTTGAAACATGTTGGGATTACAGACTGGGACAAGGATAGATTGAAAATGTCTGTGAACACACTTGCCAGATTGTCTGCCCATGCTTTGAGAATGCGCCCTGGTATTCCGTCTGATTGTTAACCTGTTTAAACGTTTTGCTCACATCGGCCACAGAGAGCAAGATCACATGGTCATCTGGAAAAACAGGGGCTTTCATGCAAGGCACAGTGTTATATTCCTCGACGCGAGCATAAAAGGCATTTAGCTCGTTTGGGAGTTCTGCATCGCTGGGCAACTCATGGCTGGGTTTCTCTTTGTAATCTGTTATTGTCTGCAAGCTCTGACACATACGATGAGCATCGGAGCCGGTGTAATAAGATTCCACCAACCTCCTATATTGTCCTTTTGCATGTTTGATGGCTCGTCTGAGGTTGTAGCAGACTTTCTTGAATGCTTCCATGTCCGTGTCCCATTTCTTGTAAGCGGTAGCTCTAGCTTTTAGCCCAGCATGGATATCGCCTGTAATCCATGGTTTTTGGTTTGGATACGTTCTTATAGTCACAGTAGGGATGACATCATCTATGCACTTATTGTATGCGTTTCTGTAGGTAGAACAGAGTTTTAGCTCCCCTAGTGGCGCAGGAGACTTGTTGGTAGAAGTGAGGTAGGATGGTTTTAAGTATCCACGCGTTAGTCTCCACCCGCCAGAAACGCTGCCTTTGGGTGAGCAGTTTCTTGTTTGTTTATGGCTTCATACAGTTCATTGACCACCAGAGTGGTGTTGGCATGTGGAGGGATGTAGACAACTGTGATAATTACAGATGAGAACTCTCTTGGTAGATAAAAGGGTCTGCCACTTACCATGAGGTATTCTATATCAAGTGAGCAAAAGCTTGAGATTTCCTTCACACTGGAAGCAGCATACTAGTTGTTTTTTTTTTGTTTTTTAAACACTCCTCCTCCTTTCGACTTCTCTGAAGCTGCTGTACAATCCTGCCGCTGCAATCCATCGAGTACTACTATCATCCGCAACGTTTCAGTAAGACATATAATATATAATATTATAGCTTTTCAAGTCTCTCTGATAGGAGACTCTCGAACAAAGGTCATCCATCTTATTCTCGAGTTACTGGACATTTGCCAATAGAACGGAGGGGAGCGCCGTTCGTTTTTGTCTTTGCCTCCAAAAAAGAAAATGTACCCCCCTTTTTCTCCTCAATTTCATAATTACGATCTTGTCTCATCGCTGCAACTCCCCAATGGGCTCGGGAGAGGCGAAGGTCGAGTCATGCGTCCTCCGAAACATGACCCGCCAAGCCGTGCTTCTTAACACCCGCTCACTTAACCCGGAAGCCAGCTGCACCAATGTGTCGGAGGAAACACTGTTCAACTGACGACCGAAGTCAGCCGGCAGGTGCCCGGCCCGCCACAAGGAGTCGCTAGAGCACGATGAGCCAAGTAAAGCCCCCCGGCCTAACCTTCCCCTAACCCGGACGACGCTGGGCCGATTGTGCGCTGCCCTATGGGACTCCCGGTCACGGCCGGTAATGACACAGCCTGGGATCGAACCCCAGGCTGTAGTGATGCCGCAACACTGCGATGCAGTGCCTTAGACTGCTGTGCCACTCGGGAGGCTCATTGCCGCAATTTCACCAGGACTCCACCTCGTTTCCCACGTCTATGCCTGCAGCGTTTTGGAACAAATTAATAGGGTAAGGTATGAACAGTGGAACAGCTGAGTCGGATTTGAAGTCGTATTTGAAGTCAAAATCGAGGTTAGTAACTGTCGATCTGATGTCCAGAAATGCTTGGCGGTCATATGTGATAATAGTATTTGTGTACAAAAAAGTAAAGATAAACACAATAAAAGTCTCTATATCGCAAAGTTGGGTTGGAACTCGTATGATGTCGCCCTTCTCCGTCAGCACCATCTTGTTGGTCACATGTGTATGATCACCTCAGCAACTCAGCACTCTGCAGGAGGTTTTGCCATCATTTATGCAAGTTGGCTAGCTCAAGAGCATGATACAGCGTTGATTGAAGTGCTAAAAATCAACATGTTCCCCTTACATGTAATCCATTCCAATGCAATGTGTGATGAGTATATTCATAAGTACACAACACAGTTAGATGTCATCCACAAATTCAAACTAATTTACTGCAGCATCTTTTTGGTGAGTCATTATCTCAGCAGGCCATATGTGCAAAGGCAATGTAAACACGTGTGTGTGTGTGTGTTTATTTAAGAGGGTTTACCTTTCTCTGCACCGGCCTCATCCCTCCTCTCCATCAGAAGGAAGCGTGGGCTTTCGGGGAGGAAGGGCAGCACACAGAGCTGCAACAAGGCAGGCAAGGCCAGGAAGGCAAAGAGGAAGTTCCATCTGGACTCCTGCAGGAAACCCAACAGATAATAACATTAGACGAAAAGAAGGATAACCACCAGAGAATTACAACGGATAACCACCATATACAGTGAGGGAAAAAAGTATTTGATCCTCTGCTGATTTTGTACGTTTGCCCACTGACAAAGAATTGTTTTAAATTGATTTGCATTTTAATGAGGGAAATAAGTATTTGACCCCTCTGCAAAACATGACTTAGTACTTGGTGGCAAAACCCTTGTTGGCAATCACAGAGGTCAGACGTTTCTAGTAGTTGGCCACCAGGTTTGCACACATCTCAGGAGGGATTTTGTCCCACTCCTCTTTGCAGATCTTCTCCAAGTCATTAAGGTTTCGAGCCTGACGTTTGGCAACTCAAACCTTCAGCTCCCTCCACAGATTTTCTATGGGATTAAGGTCTGGAGATTGGCTAGGCCACTCCAGGACCTTAATGTGCCTCTTCTTGAGCCACTCCTTTGTTGCCTTGGCCGTGTGTTTTGGATCATTGTCATGCTGGAATACCCATCCACGACCCCTTTTCAATGCCCTGGCTGAGGGAAGGAGGTTCTCACCTAAGATTTGACGGTACAAGTCCCCGTCCATCGTCCCTTTGATGCGGTGAAGTTGTCCTGTCCCCTTAGCAGAAAAACACCCCCAAAGCATAATGTTTCCACCTCCATGTTTGACGGTGGGGATGGTGTGCTTGGGGTCATAGGCAGCATTCCTCCTCCTCCAAACACGCGAGTTGAGTTGATGCCAAAGAGCTCATGTTTGGTCTCATCTGACCACAACACTTTCACCCAGTTCTCCTCTAAATCATTCAGATGTTAATTGGCAAACTTCAGATGGGCATGTATATGTGCTTTCTTGAGCAGGGGGATCTTGCGAGCGCTGCAGGATTTCAGTCCTTCACGGCGTAGTGTGTTACCAATTGTTTTCTTGGTGACTATGGTCCCAGCTGCCTTGAGATCATTGACAAGATCCTCCCGTGTAGTTCTGGGCTGATTCCTCACCGTTCTCATGATCATTGCAACTCCACGAGGTGAGATCTTGCATGGAGCCCCAGGCCGAGGGAGATTGACAGTTATTTTGTCTTTCTTCCATTTGCGAATAATCGCACCAACTGTTGTCACCTTCTCACCAAGCTGCTTGGCGATGTTCTTGTAGCCCATTCCAGCCTTGTGTAGGTCTACAATCTTGTCCCTGACATCCTTGGAGAGCTCTTTGGTCTTGGCCATGGTGGAGAGTTTGGAATCTGATTGATTGATTGCGTCTATGGACAGGTGTCTTTTATACAGGTAACAAACTGAGATTAGGAGCACGCCCTTTAAGAGTGTGCTCCTAATCTCAGCTCATTACCTGTATAAAAGACACCTGGGAGCCAGAAATCTTTCTGATTGAGAGGGGTTCAAATACTTATTTCCCTCATTAAAATGCCAATCAATTTATAACATTTTTGACATGCGTTTTATCTGGATTTTGTTGTTGTTATTCTGTCTCTCACTGTTCAAATAAACCTACCATTAAAATTATAGACTGATCATTTCTTTGTCAGTGGGCAAACGTACAAAATCAGCAGGGGATCAAATCCTTTTTTCCCTCACTGTATATATTTTTAAAGGATATGTATGTATGTGTAGGTATGCATGTATGTATATATATATATATATATATATATATATATATATATATATATATATATATGCGAGAAAAAAAGAAAAAAAACCATATGGGGGATTGGAAGTGATGCAGACAATTACATTGATGGAAGTTAGAATCTATCTGCAATATTAAAGCTGATCTATCCCCTAAAAATAATAATGATAATAATAATAATTCCCTGTCCTAGGTCAGTTAGGATCACCACTTTATTTTAAGAATGTGAAATGTCAGAATAATAGTAGAGAGAATGATGTATTTCAGCTTTTTATTTCTTTCATCACATTCCCAGTGGGTCAGAAGTTTACATACACTCAATTAGTATTTGGTAGCATTGCCTTTAAATTGTTTAACTTGAGTCAAACATTTTGGGTAGCCTTCCACAAGCTTCCCACAAAAAGTTGGGTGAATTTTGGCCCATTCCTCCTGACAGAGCTGGTGTAACTGAGTCACGTTTGTAGGCCTCCATGCTCGCACACGCTTTTTCAGTTCTGCCCACAAATGTTCTATAGGATTGAGGTCAGGGCTTTGTAATGGCCAATCCCAATACCTTGACGTTGTTGTCCTTAAGCCATTTTGCCACAACTTTGGAAGTATGCTTGGGGTCATTGTCCATTTGGAAGACCCATTTGCGACCAAGCTTTAACTTCCTGACTGATGTCTTGTGATGTTGCTTCAATATATCCACATAATTTTCCTTCCTCATGATGTCATCTATTTTGTGAAGTGCACCAGTCCCTCCTGCAGCAAAGCACCCCCACAGCATGATGCTGCCACCCCCGTGCTTCACGGTTGGGATGGTGTTCTTCGGCTTGCAAGCAACCCCCTTTTTCCTCCAAACATAACGATGGTCATTATAGCCAAACAGTTCTATTTTTGGTTTCATCAGACCAGAGGACATCTCTCCAAAAAGTATTACTTTTGTCCCCATGTGCAGATGCAAACCGTAGTCTGGCTTTTTTATGGCGGTTTTGGAGCAGTGGCTTCTTCCTTGCTGAGCGGCCTTTCGGATTATGTCGATATAGAACTCGTTTTACTGTGGATATAGATACTTTTGTACCTGTTTCCTCCAGCATCTCCACAAGGTCCTTTGCTGTTGTTCTGGGATTGATTTTCAGTTTTCGCACCAAAGTACGTTGATGTCTAGGAGACAGAACGTGTCTCCTTCCTGAGCGGAATGACGGCTGTGTGGTCCCATGGTGTTTATACTTGCGTACTATTGTTTGTACAGATGAATGTGGTACCTTCAGGCGTTTGGAAATTGCTCCCAACGATGAACCAGGTCTACCATTTTTTTCTGAGGTCTTGGCTGATTTCTTTTCATTTTCCCATGATGTCAAGCAAAGAGGCACTGAGTTTAAAGATAAGCCTTGAAATACATCCACAGGTACACCTCCAATTGACTCAAAGCTGTTTAAAGGCACAGTCAACTTAGAGTATGTAAACTTCTGACCCCACTGGAATTGTGATACAGTGAATTATAAGTGAAATAATCTGTCTGTAAACAATTGTTGGACAAATGACTTGTGTCATGCACAAAGTAGATGTCCTATCAGACTTGCCAAAACTATTGTTTGTTAACAAGACATTTGTGGAGTGGTTTAAAAACGAGTTTTAATGACTCCAACATACAATTGAAGTCGGAAGTTTACATACACTTAGGTTGGAGTCATTAAAAGTCATTTTTCAACCACTCCACACATTTCTTGTTAACAAACTTCAAACAAACTAGTTCAAACTCAGTGCCTCTTTCCTTGACATCATGGGAAAATCAAAAGAAATCAGCCAAGAAAAAAATGTGTAGACTTCCACAAGTCTGCTTCATCCTTGGGAGCAATTTCCAAACTGAAGGTACCACATTCATCTGTACAAACAATAGTACGCAAGTATAAACACCATGGAACCACACAGCCATCATACCACTCAGGAAGGAGACACGTTCTGTCTCCTAGATATCAACGTACTTTGGTGCGAAAAGTGAAAATCAATCCCAGAACAACAGCAAAGGACCTTGTGAAGATGCTGGAGGAAACAGGTACAAAAGTATCTATATCCACAGTAAAACGAGTCCTATATCGACATAACCTGAAAGGCCGCTCAGCAAGGAAGAAGCCACTGCTCCAAAACCGTCATAAAAAAGCCAGACTACGGTTTGCAACTGCACATGGGGACAAAGAGCGTACTTTTTGGAGAAATGTCCTCTGGTCTGATGAAACAAAAATATAACTGTTTGGCCATAATGACCATCGTTATGTTTGGAGGAAAAAGGGGGTCGCTTGCAAGCCGAAGAACACCCTCCCAACCGTGAAGCACGGGGGTGGCAGCATCATGCTGTGGGGGTGCTTTGCTGTAGCAGGGACTGGTGCACTTCACAAAATAGATGGCATCATGAGGAAGGAAAATTACATGGATATATTGAAGCAACATCTCAAGACATCAGTCAGGAAGTTAAAGCTTGATCGCAAATGGGTCTTCCAAATGGACAATGACCCCAAGCATACTTCCAAAGTTGTGGCAAAATGCCTTAAGGACAACAAAGTCAAGGTATTGGAGTGGCCATCACAAAGCCCTGACCTCAAACCTATAGAAAATGTGTGGGCAGAACTGAAAAAGCGTGTGCGAGCAAGGAGGCCTACAAACCTGACTCAGTTACACCAGCTCTGTCAGGAGGAATGGGCCAAAATTCACCCAACTTTTTGTGGGAAGCCTGTGGATGGCTACCCGAAACGTTTGACCCAAGTTAAACAATTTAAAGACAATGCTACCAAATACTAATTGAGGGTATGTAAACTTCTGACCCACTGGGAATGTGATGAAAGAAAGAAAAGCTGAAATAAATAATTCTCTCTTCTATTATTCTATTTCACATCCTTAACATAAAGTGGTGATCCTGACTGACCTAAGACAGGGAATTTTTACTAAGATTAAATGTCAGGAATTGTGAAAAACTGAGTATAAATGTAATTGGCTAAGGTGTATGTAAACTTCTGACTTCAACTGTATTTTTGCTTTACTCATCTCATATGTATATACTCTATTCTATTCTACTGTATTTTAGTCTATGCCACTCCGACATTGCTCATCCTAATATTTCTAACATTGATATATTCCTTAATTCCATTATTTTACTTTTAGATTGTGTGTATTATGTGTATTGTTGTGAATTGTTAAATATACTGCACTGTTGGAGCTAGAAACACAAGCATTTCGCTACACCCGCAATAACATCTGCTAAACATGTGTATGTGACAAATAAAATTTGATTTGATTTGGAGTGTTTCTGTCAGTAATAAAGCCCTTTTGTAGGGAGAAACTCGTTCTGATTGGCTGGGCCTGGCTCCCCAGTGGG